AAAAATTACTGTCCACAAGACAAAAAGAATAACAGCATTTCAAAGTTAAATTGAAAGTGTAGGAAATGTTTGATTATTGACGACGTTAAATTATTGAAGACAAACAGTTAAAAATTCTAAACATTTGGTTTAGAACAAACATTTTTAAAGATGTACAAAAGCAATCAAACAAATTTACATTTTATTTCGGATTGATCAACTTCATCAATACACTTTGAAAACCACACAGTAAAACAGACACGGCAAGAAACATTAACCCAGGTTCAGATGCATCCTAAAACTATACAAACACTTTCAGCCAGAAATATCAATGGCCTTGACTTCACGTTTCTTCACCTCTTCCTTGGGAACAGTGACAGTCAGCACCCCATTCTCCATACTGGCTTTGATCTGATCCATCTTCACATTCTCCGGTAGCCTGAACCGGCGGAGGAATTTTCCAGAGCTCCTCTCCATGCGGTGCCAGGTATCATTCTTCTCCTCCTTCTCCCTGCTCCTCTCTCCGCTAATCTGCAGAATGTTCCCTTCCTCAACTTCGACCTTCACTTCCTCCTTCTTCAGTCCAGGAAGATCAGCCTTGAAGACGTGGCCTTCCGGCGTCTCCTTCCAGTCAATCTTGGTCGCCGCGAATTGAGACGTCTCCTTAGAGAGGTCTGAAAGAGCTAAGGCGGAGAGGGCTGAATTTAAGGACCAATCCTGAAAAGGGTCCCAAAGATCGAGAGAGAATGGATCAAAAACACTGCTTCGGCGACCGAAAACACTTGGAATCAGCGACATTTTGCGATCTTGTTTAGCAAGAAGTTTAGAAAATAAGTATAAATTTAATAGCTGGAAAACTTGATTTGTTTGAAGGCTGTAACAAAGATTGCTTGCTGGATCTTGCTCTGAATTGCCACCAGGGACAGATGGAAGAATTTATAGTGCAGATTGAAAGGGAAAATGTGTAATTATCTAGACAAGTTGCGAGAATTCGAGACAATGAGAAAATACACATGAGAGAGAGCAAAAAATATATCGCATAAAACGAGAAATATCTGGAAGCACCCAGAGAATCTGACCTATAGTTATTCGGGGACTCGACTTCCATTTTTATTTTTGACAGGATTATAAATATGTAATTTTGTTATTCAATTTGATTGTCTAAAAAATCATGATTACCTATGTGATAAAGAAAATTGTTTTTTGTTATTTTTGTTCCGTGAATATTGTTTTTGGACAAACATAACACTCTTTCAATGACTTGTACATTCACGTATTGTAGTTTGATATTAATAAAAAGTTTGATGAATATTGTTCGAAGTCATAAGTTTTGACAGAAATTCAATTTATACATGTTTGTTCAACGTTCTTAAATTTTACCAAAACATTAAAATGTAAAAGTTAAACGAGCGAAGGAGAAAAAGAGCACACGAGTTCAAGGAATGAAATTGGAGGCAAAATTTTGAGTAGTACTATATATATATAATTATTTACAGATTGATAATATGACATTATATTAAAAATTAATTGATCTTCTTTTTTGCCCCTTTTTTTCTCTTTCTTTGTATATTAATTAGTATATAATTATGTATAAGTATCATTACTTAAAAATTATTATTCAATTGTATATGCACAAGCTGAGTTTTGAGAGAGATGCCTTTTCATCAGTTATGCTACATGTACAATCGGGGTTGACAATCACACACATGGAAAGGGAGCCCACTGTCACGGGCCTAGTTTCGTTACACTCGAATAAACTAG